TCTACTTGATCCGTTCAATATACACTGAGTATACTAGCACAAGAAGTTGGAGTAAAACTACTCTCATTATACGATAATCTTGTGTTACAATCATCAAGATATTTTGTCCAACAATATCTTTGATTGTGAACATAGTTTATTAATTATGAGAACCAACAATTTAATCTTCTGTGCATGAGCTAAGACTCCATACACTAAATTGTCTACTACATAACTAAAAGGACACACATGTAACAAATGATTTATTTAAAATAGTACTTTATTGAATTGAATAAATTAAATAAACAATTATTCCATAAAGAATAAAATATAATACTATGTCTAAACCGCATGGTTAATAGTATATCCCAACAGGTGATACATCCAAACCCTATTCGTCGAAAATTACAGTGTATATATAAGATTAAATTTTTTCATGTACATATATTAGGGGATGAATCCCCTAGCTTCTTTCCGTGTTTATACTTTTCACTTTTTGAACCCCTTAATGAAACCACTGAATTTATAGCTCTATTCAATATAGAATAATGTATATTTTAAATAAATAGATCTCAAACTCAGTTTAAATCTGATTGAAGACCTGAACACAAGGTTCAGCTCTTCTGTTTTGCATATTCATTTGTGCTTTTGGAATCCGCTTCTACGAGAAAAAACGGACATAGATTCAAAAATAGAAAAACAATCTTTGCCTATTAAGAACTACCTCTTTGTTCACTTAGAAGTCACTGATGTCATCTTATTTTCGCAATAGTTAGGATAGTTAGATTTAAACGTAATGTTATGTATTTGGATGTTTTTATTGTTTCATCCACTCCCATGTTGGTCTGGCGGTTTCTCCAGCAGATTGTGTTTTTGGTTCACTGTGACTGGCTGGCACGTGTATTTGCTTGAACAAGATATTTACATTCGGATCAATGACATTTTTATTTACATGCGTAGATGTATGGCATTTTTATATCTATATCTAGGAGCCATGTAAGAGATTTCTGACTATTTGTGAAGGAAAATTCTTTAGGCAAGAGACTGTGAAGTAGGTAGACTATAAATGTTTCTGAAAAGGAAGCTGTGTAATGTTATGTTTGTCAAATGTTAATTTTAATACAATATAGGTACCTCTATTATACTCTATTGTAATAAACTAAAAGATCTTCAGCCTTAGTTTTTGAGACATTGTTGTGACAAGTAATGTTGCAAGAAATACTATGGGCTTCCGTTTTTGCCCCTCAAAATGAGTCTTGTAATGTGTCAGTTAAAGAACATGTTGTAATTTCGGTGATGTTCTATGATCTAGGATTTTTTGTATATTTCACATTTTTTGGTTGTTGCACCTTTTGGATTAGGAGAGAAAAAAAAAGTGTAAAAAATGTCAAAGCAAATACCAGCAAATAAGAATCGCATAATGTAGTAGTAAATGTTCTGAAAGAAATGGAGTTTAATAAGTTATACTATATTTTCGCTGAAGCATAGTAGCAAGTATTCTAATTAAAATTAGCGGATGTAGCACTATAAGTGATGCTATTTTTACTTTGGAGAAGTGCTTTGAGCTTCATCTATTTGAGGTTCCTAAAATTCTTTTTAGCTTTAGAAACGTGAATTACTTTTAAGTTAGTTTTTAGGTGCAATGGAATTGAGAGAAACCCGTGTCTTTTTTATAAAGGAAATTATAGTCTTCCTTAATTGTAGAAAATAGTTGATACATCACCTACATTATTAATAAAGCAAAACATCCATTCCGTCTGAATTAATGCCAATCATCTCTATGTTACCCCATCTCAATATTCAAAAAAAAAATGTGTGCTTTTTAAAGTAGTACTTCTATGTTAGTATTACTAGTCTGTCAGGTTAGTTCTTAGTGCAAGGTTATGTAGCTGAAACCCAAGAAGAATGTATACGGCAAAATCAGAGGGCCTAATTTCTTGCTATCGAGTTACTTCAGAAGGACACCTCGAGACCCCGAGGACGCGAAGCTGTGACTGAGTTCCCTCCCTCGGAGCTCATCGAGGTCTGACGTAAAGAGGACATAGATCGAGGCTAGAGTAAAATGGGAAATTCCCAAGGCACACGGCTAAGTCTGACAAAGTCGGCCTACCCAGAGCCTGTATCAAGGCGTCGCGTCTAGCCGTCACATCTCCATGCCTTTACAATTAATGTATTTTGCACTATGACGAGATTCCCCTCCTATATAGAGGGGATCCTCATCACTTTGTTAAGGGCTGTTGTTGCTCCAACTATTCTACACAAGATCAGTAACAACTCTCACTCTCTTTTCTCTCTAACTTACTCGCTCGAGACTACCTCTCTCATTTATTGCGTTCATACTTGTTCTTCATTTATTGTTTGATATCAGCGTAAAGAACCTCCTTTAATTATATTCTAACTGTTACTCCCTTCTCGGTTACCCTGATAGCTCGAGCCCGAGCCCGAGCGTCGACCTCGAGGCAATCGGTTGGCCCGAGGCCCGGATAACTAACCCCTCGGTTGGATCACAGCTCTATTCTAATTTGCGTTTTTATCCTTTATCTTCATATATCTAGCATCAACTACTCTAACAACTAGCATAAAAATAGATCACGTATTTTTAGAGTCTCATCAACAAATTTAATTGTTATTATCATTTTGACGGTAAACAAAGTAAGTTACAATAATAATCATAATAATTTATCCAAGCATAAATGGGTGAAGTTTTTATTTAGTGATCTTTGGTTACTGTAATTTCTTCGCATACTATTTGATGTATTTTCACTTAAAACATGTTGAACATTCAAATGCACCAAAAATATTTTTTTCTCTTTCCTTCATGTGTTTCTTGCTCGCTATATTGTGGGTTCCATAATTCTCTTGTGATGCTTTTGTTGATATACTTCGACCTTTGGTTTGCAGGATTACTTTCTTACTCAATAAGAAAAAATATTTGCTACCTGTGTCTAGCCTCTACTAGCTCCTGGCTTTTGAGGTAGAGTGGAAGAATTACTTCACTTGACTTCATAAGTTTCTTTTACCAAGCTTCAGGTATAGTTCAAGGTTTCATACTTGCATATTTCATAGTTTTTTGAAGCTCTTATAAGGCATGTTATCGTATAATTACCAAATTCTAATTTTAATGCGAATAGCCAAATTAAAATTGGCTGGGTAGGTTCATGGCAGTGAGCATAATTTTTCATGTTTGGGCTTAAGAAATTCAGGAGAATGGATAGAGAAGTTTAAGCACATCAAAAGATGCAGCACTATTAATATGAATAATCTCACCTCACAGTCTGTCTTTCACTGGGAAGGCATACTATATCAACTATGTATGTATATCGGACAATAGCCTTAACAAACATTTGACACGAGTAGCATGGCTCATGTATTTTTATTGAGGTTAGACTAACATATTTAATGCTCTTCCAAAGTAAGTTGCTGGATTGGTGAAGACATGCTTTGTACATTGCTGATAAAATGTTGCAGATTTTATGCAGTTCCTCCTCCAACAGAATATGAGAGGACGACCTGGAAAGAAAATAAGAATAGCAAGTATTCTGTCAACTGCCATAGGCTTCTTACCTCAAGCCTCCCTCTCCGCCACTGTTAGTGGAAACTTGCATAGTAATATAAGGATCCACTCAAAGTCATTGGTTTTATTTGAATAGCATCACATAATAGTGATGACCGCTGACACAGGCAAACCTGCAAGGAAGAGGTTACTTCTTATCAATTGATGCCACCTTTCCTCGATCCGGTAACTCAGAAGAGATTAGCCGTCTATTTTTAGAAGTGTATCATAGCTACTAACTCAGAATAGATTAGCCATCTACTAAACTATGCAAATGTTGTTATTTCTATTTGAAAATCTTGGCTGGTGATCTAAGAGCCGGTTATTAGAACTGGCTCAGAAGGAAGATGGGGAACGTAAGGCTATATATATTGAACGATGTTATACTGTCGACAATTTGGAAAAAAAAAGGGAACATCTAATGTAGTGTTACGTAATAAAGCTTGATTATTTATCGAAAGAAAGGAATCTGGAATATGCTATTGTAGTATTGGGCCCGTGCTCGAGCATCTAGTATAAGTATAATTAGAGGCGGTTTGTTTTTTCACACTTCATAAAATATTTGTTTAAAACAAGTATGTTCTATAATTAGGCAGTCATATCTATTGGTAAAACTCAATCTTCAAAATTTTATTAATACCAAAATATATTAGACGTGAAAATCTCAATATTATGTATAAAAAGTTAATCAATTTTATTTTGGCGATTTATATGCCTGTTCTAATTGGCCAAAAATTTCAAAAAATAAAAATCAAAGTAAAAATATTTTCTTTAGTAATTTTAAAGTAGAAGATTTTATTTCAACATTTGCATTTACTTTTTCACTTTTTATTTTTTAATTTAATTTACCAGGAAAAAAATAGGAATTAGGAAACCCACTCTACTACTTGGCTGCTTGATTTTATCTCTATCATTCTTTGAGCCTAGGGTCTTTCGGAAATGGCCTCTCTGTCTTTATAAGGTACGCAGGGGTAACGTCTGTGTACAC